CCGAGGAATAGTTTGCGTAATTATCTATACGACACACTTTCACCCCAAGGCCTTCGCCAACGTCCGACAAACAACCTGCGGCCTGCCCGCCACTGTGAAAAACATCCGCTTACTGCATGACACGCTTCTGACGCTCGTGTTTAGGCTTTAGGTTTTCAGAATACTTCCCCTAAACCCTAAACCCTAAACCCTAAACCCTCCGATCTTCGCCATGGCACTGGATCTGGGAATGCCAGCGATCACCGAGGTTGTGATTTCCTCGTTCCCATCACCGTCGGGAGCCGAAGGATTCTCCTGCGGGCTGCTGGGCCAATAATTTTATTAAAAAAAGTTATGTTAATTTAGTTTAGGGTTTAGGGTTTAGGGTTTAGGGTTTAGGGTTTAGGGTTTAGGGTTTAGGGTTTAGGGTTTAGGGTTTAGGGTTTAGGGTAATTTACAATACTTTAATTTTTTCAGCGGAGAACTAAGGCTTAAGACCTTAACTGTTAGAGTCTTGAAGCCTTCGAACTCAAGTTTCAACTCTAAGTCCGAAGCCGTGACACCTAATTGGTTTAGGGTTAAGGGTTCCTGAAACCCTAAACCCTAAAAACCTAAACCTAAACCCTAGATCCCTTTGGGACACGGAGGCTCTAGGCAAGGCTTTCAGCCGAGCCCAGGGTACAAGCTGGAACTGAGGGCTTCAAAGCGATGCACTCAGCGACCTGCAAAAAGTGCATAGCGCAAACAAGAAGCAGAATTTCAATGGTGTATAAGTGTAGCTAGTAACATCATAAGAGCAGTCATATTGCTAATCATAATTAATGGTCATCCCTAAACCCTAAACCGAAACCCCTAAACCCCTAAACCCTAAACTAAACCCTGTAAAACCCTAAACCCTAAACCCCTAAACTCCTGAACCCTAAACTAAACCCTATAAACCCCTAAACCCTGAACTAAACCCTGTAAAACCCTAAACCCTGGTCGCACCACAGGAGTGGTTGTCAAAATTATGGTCCCTCTTGGGGTACCCTAAATAATAGGTGTCGTATTATAATAAGGACCCAAAAAGGGACCCCAATTTTGACAACCCTAAACCCTAAACCCTAAACCCTAAACCCTAAAACCCTAAACCCTAAACCCACAGGGAAGCTGCAAGCCTCCTTCGCTGGCGCGGGATCTGCTTCCGGGCGTGGCGATCGGCGGGCCCTGGGGTCTTTAGGCTTTCCCTTTTTTTTAAAGGAAACTTATAGGGTAGGGTTTTAGGGTTTTAGGGTTTTAGGGTTTAGGGTTTAGGGTTTAGGGTTTAGGGGTTTAGGGGTTTAGGGTTTAATTAGAATAGAGCTTGGGGGAGTTAAAGGAGCATATAGACCGTCTATAAGGCCCCTATAACGGTAACTACCCACCTGAAAATGTCCTAGACTCTTGCATTTACGGAAGCTGAGAGGTAAGAATCCGAGGGCTTAGGGTTTTAGGCTTACCCTAAACCCTAAACCCTAAACCGTTTAGGGGGGCAGGCTCAGAGTTGACAATGCGAGGCCTTAGTGTTTGAGGGATTTTAGGGTTTAGGGTTTAGGAAGCTTAGAGTTAAGCGCCCGAAGGCCTATGATATCAGTCTCTTCGGACTCAGTTGGTCTTCGGGCTGAGGGTTATTTCTCCGGACTTAGCTTTGGGCTGGGATCTGTTTGCAGAGGCTGCCGAACTTAAAGGGTTTTGAGTTTAGGACCGGTATATGGGTTTGGGGGTTTAGGGTTTAGGGCTAAGTGCAAATTGCGGGCCCGCAGCGCATTTAGCCCCTGAGCTTTACGCAGGCCCTAACTTCGACGCCGTCATCTGCCAACGAAACACAAGCAATACATCAGGAAGAGTCGGGGTTTGAGCTCTCAGCGGTTGAAGCCAGTTGTGCAGGGAACCCCTCCGTACGGTGCCACGATTTCAGAACAACTTATCCAACATAATAATGGTTTGACAAACCTTTCAATCGCTATATCCCCAGCATGTCAATGTCACGGTTCAATCTTTGCAGGCTGGCTGCTGCAACTCGGAAAGTTGAAGGGCTAAAGTTACATTAAAGTTAATGTTGCCAAAAACTCAAAGATTCAGCGATGAGGTACTACGCAAGGACACAGAGTACGTGCGATCGCTCTTCCAGTGCGTCTCCCTAAAAAGGCACCGCAAAACGATTCTTTAGCAAGCTGCGGTGGGCTGGGAGAGCGTCGGCGTGGCGGACTAGGAGAGCGCCGCCGCGGACTAGGCGAACGTCTACGCCGAGGTGGTGTCGGGCTGCGCCGGCGCCTATGGTTTAGGATGTTTAGGGATCTACAGGTGGCAAACTACCCACAACGTCTCGGGAGACGTAATTGGAAGGCTGCAAAACAGCTAGTAGAAGCTTGTTGTCTAAGATTTATAAATCTTTCTTTAATTAAAGACTGCCCACTTCTATAGGTGCTGTCTACAGTGGTTTGTTCAAACAGAGTAGTACGCCACCGCCGAGGTGCATCGACAGATAGCTGAGCCAGTAGCAGAAGTAGCAGTAGTGGCCGTCCTCGTCGTAGTAATGAATCATGGAAACAACGACGGGAAATGCAGCAGCAATAAATAGAAAGAGGTACTACCCTATAGTAGCTTTATTACATATTCTGAATACATACTTGTGGTAGCGGGGGAAAGGTAGTTGTCGGAATCCTTCTGAGCCAATGGCCGCGGTGGACTTCGCCGTGGCGGTGGACTTCGCCGTGGCGGTGGACTTCGCCGTGGCGGCGTCCGTCGGCGCCCTTGTGCATGCAGACTTACACTTGCTGGGTTGCTGCTCTGTAGTAGCCGAACTCCCACACAGGTAGTATACAAAAACAAAACCTGCTGTAAGATCGGCATTTTTGAGTGGTGACTAGCACGTAACACATCCAATATAGGCTCCAACTCATCCATCCATGCACCCCCATGTCCTACATGAAGTAATTACCTTGCAGTCGACTGCAGAGGTTTCTTAAAAAATCGAACCACCGGCAAGCCCCATGGATTTGAGGACTGCTAAATCTTCACCCTCGAGCCCCCGGCCTCTGCAGAAGAGAGGTTGTTTTTTCGAAACAGTTGTTTAAAAACACTCTGTTTTAAGAGCCCCCGGCCTCCGCAGAAGAGAGGTTGTTTTTTCTCAACACAGCTGTTCAAAAACACTCTTTTTTACGAAGAGCCCCCGGCCTCTGCTGTTATACCGGCGTCCACTGCGGCTGCGCGAATCTCGGGCCATCGCGCGCAACGTGCTTCTCCCGCTGGCTCCCCGCTCCAAACACGGGATCCTTATAAAATTATATGTTGTGTATTATATATCTTGTATATTGTATACTATCTGTTGAAAACTCACATAGCATGTACTATGTTTAATCGATCACGGCACTTTTCACCCGTGTTAAGACGACTTTGGGCTTCTATCCGACTCTTCCCATGCATGTGTCACTGTGTGGAAAGGGACTATATATTATGTAGTGCATGCAATATATATATATATATAAGCCAATACATACAGTATGCAACATAGCATAACATATATTGGGCCCCTGCCCCAAGTGCAAGGAGGATCCTTCGATATACGGCTCAAATGGTTTGCCCACCCGCGCTGCAACTGGTCCCATAGGCCCAGTGCCGGACCCCAAGAGATTCCGCCACGGAGCTTGATCGTGAGAATTAATATAGGGGCCTTATTATTTGAATAGGGTTTCGGGGTATAATAAGCTATAATTTAAAAAGGGGTACATTTGCGGGGCTACCGACAGGACAAGTTCAGGTTCAATGAAAGCGGGACTGGAGAAGATATAAATCCTGCCATACCTTAAGGACCCTAAGCCATGGGAATTATGGTATATTTCTTCTTGTGGGTAATGCAGGATACGTATCGCTTCGCTGATGGCATAATAATTACAGGCTCAACACCTGCAGGACCCGCAGGGCACCCGCAGGACAAGGGAGCATGTGGCGATGTTTGTTCGATGGGCACACATCTTCGGATTCCAGTTTTGCATGAAATCGAGATGGCCATCAGCTTCTGTCAGAGTTCATTCTCCCACGCCTGGACGTCGCACCAGCAATCTGAAGGCGACCAAAGGGGGGCATGAGAAACTGACCAGCTGTAGAAGTTTTGGCGCCGCAGACGGGTATAAAAGTAGCTTATTGAGGGCACCAGGGCCGATGGAATGGGGGTGAAACAGAACCGTGTACGCTTTGCATGGCTCTAGAAGACCTTTGTACATGCCACGTCCTGTATCGGCAGTGACGGGAACGGACTCCGGGGCCGCTTCGAAAGCCATTGAAAACCGTATGGAACTCCGACCCCGCTTTCCGCCCAACACTCTAAACCCAAGCAGCAGTAGGAATTCGTAAATCCTTGGCCAAAATGCACCCTACCTAAACTCTAAACTCTAAATCCTGAAATTAAACCCCACCGGAGACTCCGAACTCCTAACTTCGAGCTGCCCTATGCCGGAAACCCAGCCTTAAAACCCAGTTTTCTTCATCGCAGGTCGTACACCCGAACCCGTACTGCCGCAACCCCCACGAAATCCTAAACCCGAACCACCCTACGTGCGCATAACCCTAAACCCTTTTTGTTTAGGGTTTAGGGTTTACTGTTTTAGGGTTTTAGGGTTTAGGGTTTAGGGTATAACCCTAAACCCTACACCGGCCCTACAAAGCCCAAACTAGACAAGCCAAACAAGCAATACCCACTACCGTAGGGGCCAAAAAAAACCAAGTACTATTTTTTTGGGGGTCCTTATTATAATTATAGTAGAATGGGCCCCAAAGCCATATTAGAATTGTTTAAGGTCCCTATATAACTTGCTGCAGACAATGTTCATAAAGCCATGAAAGGCAAGCCTGTGTAGCCTGAGGAAACTACCCTGATTGGCTCAGCGGTGGCTAGGTGGAACAACCACTGAACCCTAAAACCTTAAAAGTCCTCTGAACCCGAAACCCAAGACCCCGAAACCCTAAACCCTAAACCCTAAAACCCTACAGACAAAAACCCGAGCTCAGGCCCGTCCAACCAGCGTCCGCAGCGTCGCTTCGCCTCCTCCAGCCGGTGTTGTCTATTGAAAACCCTGCGAAATCTTGCTCCTGCGGTTTCCTGTTGGTTTCTCAGCATCTGGCCATCCTAGAACCTCATTGCCATCCACACGGCTTAGCACTTTTCAGGGTTTAGGGTTTTAGGGTTTAGGGTTTTAGGGTTTAGAGCTTAGGGTTTAGGGTTTAGGGTAATGATAAGGGATTCGAACTACGGCTTTCAGGGATTTTTTGGCCTCCCACCTGGCTACGACGAAGCCCGCATTGCAGGGTACAGTCGAAAGCAAAACAGACCCACATGTGTAACTAGCTGTGGGTCTAATTTGCTTTCGACTGTACTAAGGCATTTAGGGTTTAGGCTTGGCTTTAGGGGTGTGTCGTTTAAATGTAAGGTTTGCACACGTTGTTGTCTGCACATTCCGGCGGGAGTCTCAGCCTAAATCCGTCCTTCCTGTATGAGGCGCTTGGTCGATAAAGCCTAAACGTTCAACCTCAACTAATAATAGCATGACGAATACTATTGTAGAAACATCACTAATGACTAGCATTAGGCTGTTATTACTATGTTTATGATGATTGCCATTCGCATTAGCAGCAGTGGCAGTAGTCGAAGCAGTAGCAGCAGCAGCAGCAGCAGCAGCAGCAGCAGCAGCAGCAGCAGCAGCAGTAGTAGTAGTAGTAGCAGGAGTAGGAGTCGGAGTAGTAGTCGTCGTCGTGGTAGTAGTAGTCAGATTGTTGGTATTGTTGCTATTGCCACTTACCATTACCATTACCGTTTTTCCTTTTTGCTATTCATGATGCTCGAATGCCTAGTACCTAAACCCTAAACCCTAAACCCTAAACCCTAAACACTAAACCAGCAGGCCCTTCATGGAGCCCATACACGACAGTGGGTGCTAAGGGCATGGCCATAGAGGGTAGAGGGTAGAGGACCAAGTGCCCGAAACCTTCATCCTAAATAGGGTTTAGGATCCTAAACCCTAAACATGCCACGCCTCTGTCGGTGCTCAGGGCCTTTGCTTTCTTTTTCTTCTTGGGCTTCTCAGCTTCGCTGCTCAGGAAGCCTGCGTCCAGGTTATAGGGCTTGGCTTTGCAGGCTCAATCTGCAAAGACGCAGAACCTCTCTTGGTTCGATGAGGCGGGGTTTTAGGGTTTCGGGTTTCGAAAGTTGGCTTGGGCTCAAGAAAGAGCAAGCACGACAGTTCTCTATGCTCGACCCCAATGTAGGGGCCTGAATCTCCGGATGCCTTGGCCTTGACTACCACGACCCTGTGCTTCCTAGAGTCTGACTGAGCCTTACTTGTTACCAAGCCTGACTCTTGCTCAGAGCTCAGAAACCCAGGTAGTATTATTAGGGGTACCCCTTAAAGGGTACCCCTTCTGAACCCTACTTTTGGCTCTCTTAAAAGGGGCCTTATTGAGAGGGTCTATATCCCCAAGGGTCCCCCTAATCCTAGCTCCCAAACCCCACAGAATCATGAGCCTCTTGTTCCATCCCAGCGCGGCCCGAACGCGACGCTGGTAATCCTCGGTGTCTGGCTTTTGCTGGGGTTGTGGGGGCTTACAGGGTAGGATGTGGGGTTCCGGGGATTTCCGCTTCATGTTATGAGGATGGCGTCAGGGCACAGGTTTTTGGCATCTGGTTTCGGGTTTTATTTGCGGTTTCGGTTGGAGGTTTGAGATTTGGTATGTATAAGTTCATTCGGTTCTGCAGTAAAACCTAGAAGTGAAGGATGGAGCATCCCAGCTTTCATCATTCTTGTTCCAATTTCTGAGGCCGCAGACTAGAACGCCCCAGCGGTCTGTCTGGTGCTGATGATGGCCTTTCGATGATCACGTTTAGGCAGGGGCCTCTTCATGTTAGTTTCGCAGATGCCTGGAAATAAAAAGCAGCTGGGCTCAGATTTATCATGTGGGGTTGTAAAAAACAGCCGCTATGATTCCTATCGTTTTCGTTTACTCCTTATCGTTTCCAAAGTATGAAGATTAACACTGGTGACTTGCACCATCTTACAACCCATCTACAGTTACGTATCCCATGATGCCCATACATCTAGGAGCAGATTGCCAACACCTCAACTCGCTAGCTGGCACCAGTACTGGGTTGCTCACGTCCTTCAAAAGGCACGTCTGTCAAACCAAAGCTATCGTTTCTGTTATCGATTTGGACCCTCAGCTTGCCTCGGATTTCGGAGGTTTCACATAGCAAGTAGGGTTTAGGGTTTAGGGTTTGGGGTTTAGGGTTTAAACCCTAAACCCCAAACCCAGAGGCGCAGCCTGCACAAGCAAGTGCAGTCTCCCAAGCCTTAGCTTGCTCAAGCGCAGCCTCTGAAGCCTCGGCGAGCAACAGTTCTACAAGTGAAGCCTCTAAAGTTACGGCTTGCACATAGCAATAGGTAGTAGCAAGCAATCGTAGACCGTAGCAGTAGCGGCATCAATAGTTGTAGCAGTACGAACGAACAGGAACAGTCGTAGTACCAATAATACAAATAATATTCAAAGTATCACATGGGTGCTGGGCCGGGCACCCAGCCCCAAACTCGGAATCACGGCCCCTCAAGCCGACACCCTAATCAAGGCACGTGAAGGCCCAAAAATGCCAAGCTTGGCCCTTGTACCCCTAGTAACCATACCTGCTCCGAAGGCGTCATCCCCAGAAGAACCTTTAGAGTTTAGGGCTTAGGGCTTAGGGTTTTACAAAAATAGCCTAATTCCTGGATTCCTAAACCCCCATCACAGCTTTCAACTAGAAAGGCAAGCATCAGCGTGAGGGTGATGATGGCGCGGACCGGGAGCGAGAACTCCTGTTCACAGCTCTGGGGTTTGCTGGGTTAGGGTTTTGGGGTTCAGGGTTTCGACTCACACACTCGCACAAGGCTGGCATGGCAAGAAGGTCCCGAGCTTGCTACATGTACATACCTGCTTGTCCAAGGACTGGTTAACCCGATATGCCCAGTAAGGAAACCACCACAAACGTCTAAAACATCAGAAAGAGAAGGCCTGGGCAATAGGGCATTCCCAGCCTAGACCGCAGATCCGAGGCAGAGGGCAGTCTATTGCGACCACATTCTGCTAACCACGCAGCTAGGGGAGCCTACTGTTTCAAAATATTCTCACTGCAATCTGTATCTGACTTCGAGCGCACTAGTTGTCGCACGCTATGAACATGTCTTCACTGTGAGCTATGTGTTTCTCACCGAAGTGATCCGCTTCGTAGTGCTGGTAGGCGTAGTACAGCAGGGGGGAAAACTTGTCATGCAGTCTTGCAATGTCAAGCCATTCTCCATCGGTGGCCCCGTTACGTAGTAGTCTCATGCAGCAGCATCTTCGTCTGAATTCCTGACCTTCAACTGGTGCAGAAGGCTGGGCATGCTCATCAAATTCACCGGCAGGCGTCTATTCCAATGCTGTAAATTCACCACCGTTGCCCAGTAGATTGTGCATGCAGTAAATTCGCCACCATCATGCAGGATACTTGGCATGCAGCTTCAAAAACCAGGCATTGTTGTCTCATGCAGTGATAAATTCGACATGCCATTGCTACCAAACTTGCGCATCCACATGCAGTGCCAATTCTAACCCATCGTCGTGTCCAGGCCTGTGAACTCCTTCTCACACTCTCTGCAGGTCACTCCGTACAGTGGCACAGCGCGCGCTGTTATAAGGGCTCCAGGTTCTGTGATCCGGAGAGCTGCGTTAAGGTTAGTCCTCACCTCTGCAAAAACATTGCCGCAGCAAGCTCCAGCCGCAACAACACCAGCTTCCATGGCAGACCCGGAATGGAGTCACTGCCCCCGACGGCTCCAGCTGTACCAGTACAAGGATCTCGGAGCAAAGCACGACACCACTTGTGTGTATGTTCCACAGTCAGATCCCAGGCGTATACTTGGACTACAGGCAGACGACTGCTTCCGTAAACCATGGCGGCGAATTTGAGCGGGTTAGTGGTTTGTCAGAGGGGTGGGGTATGTAGGGGGCGGCAACGACAGTTAGTGCAGTGCTAGCGGCAACGCAAGCATAGCAGAGCGACAATCCTTGGTTTGTGTGCATGCAACGGCGAGGGGGCGTAGCCCTTAACACGTCGCTCACCCTGGCGAGTCAACATCCATCATCCATACACGCACCAAGTCACCTGCAGCGACAGAGCACGACTGGTCGTTTGAACAATCCCTAAACCCATCACTCGACGCTCGCTACTAGCCTATCTCACTGCCCTTTCCATGTTCAATGCTACCATGTCCCACAGACGACGCGAAAAGCACTCGCTCCACTCATTTCTTTTCTTCGAGCAACAACTACGAATTCACTGCGCTCCACTGCAAACCCTGACACCTCGAAAATGACTGCACATGCACTTGGTCAAGGCACTCCAAAAGTAGTTATTCACAACATGCATACAGCAAACACAAGTGTCTGAGACGTGCTCCACACGTCGCGGCCCGGAAAAGGGGGGGCTATTCCCAAATTCTACAACCTGCGTCAGGCCTATGAGGCTATTCATGAATTCGTGGATTCGTCAACATGCAGTGTGTCATGCTTTTAAATTCATCGTCGTGCAATCATGCAGTCGTCAAATTCGTCGTCGTGCCCACATGCAAGCTTGCAAAGTGCCTTGTGTATATGAATTCATGCGCGGGTGTCAATACCATACATGCGCAGAGTACTTGTACATGCAGCTTGCAACAGAAGAGCTCATGGCCATCTTGGTCGTCGGGACATCAGAGCAGGGTAAGTAGAACAAAAACCAAACTAGTCAACCAAACAACACCTCAACCGAAGAAAGGCCTAAGCTCTTCATCGCGAACTGCTGTTCGGCTACCATCACTGAAGGTGACTGTAGCGAGACCCGGGCCCATCGTGACCGTCGGTCCCGACAGAACCGAACCCCTGTTTATCGGGATGCGGCTCTGCAAATCGATCACTCGTGGCTGAGGCCTGGTGTCATCCGGGGGGGGGTGGCGGTAGGGCAGCCGCTCGTGGTACTTATCCTTTAGCTCTTGGATTTTCTCACTGACTTCCCCGATGAGGTCCTTGGTGCTGGACAGCGACTGTTCCTGCTCCTTGATCATCTCCGCCTGCGCCATCAACTGATCCACCATCCTCTGGAAGATCCCCGCATCTGCTGGGAGCCGGGCAAAGGCACTACCCAGTTGCGAAATGCCCCCTGCAATGCCTTCAAGCCTGGTGTCCTGGCCTTCACACACTTTATCCAGCTTGCTCAGCAGTCCATGCGATGTCGTGTGGAGGCTGTTCGCTAGGCCCTTGACCATGCCCACTTCCTCAAAGATGGACGTGCTCTTAGCACGCGTGAGCTGCTCCAACCTGTCAAAGTCCCCACGTAGCTTCTCCAGTGCCCCCTTAGTGGCATCCAGAACGTGCTGGAGGTCCTTGGACCCGAAACTTTGCTTCAGCTCCGCCAGCGTGGACTCGGCCGCCGTCGCTGTTTTCTCCTGCTTGGTGCTTATGTCCTTCAGTACATCCCGCAGAGGCTTGAGGAGGCCTTCCAGCTGATTACCGAAGTCTTTGATGGCCTGCCAGACTGGCTTCATCTCTGCCACCGTAACTCCATTGGGCTTGTCTGCCAGTTGCTTGTTGAGGCCATCCATGCCAGACACCAGCGAAGTCAGCAGCGTCATCATTTCTTTGTCACTTCCTCGGGAGCCTGAGGGCGCCGGGCCATCATGTGTTGCATCCAAGAGGTGGTTGACCGCTTGAGTCATGGCTTCGTGGCTTTGGACCAGGGCGACATGCTCACACCGCAGTATATCAACTGCCTTGTCCTGAGAGCCAATCATGTCGCAGGCATGTTGGGCTGTAAGAAGCACGCTTCTCACATCTTCACATGCCAGTAGGAAGGCATTGTGTTGTCCAGACACCTCGCGCAGGATTTGTTGCACCTCTCGGGGGACTGCCAAACCAGTCCCGTCTTGTGTCATCGACGGGCCGCTCATCTCCAGGTTCGTGAGGCGACTGTCAAGCATCTCGCACGTGTGCAGAAGTCTGGCCATCAGCAGGCGTGCTTTATACACCTGGCGTGCCATATTCACCCACACAACGGCCATCAAAGTGGCCCAAAAGATGACTCGCCACCCACCCAGAGACTCCGGCACATCGAAAAGAGCCGGCACGTCCAGATCCCGCGCCCAGGACACAAAGGACTCGAATCCCTCGGCCATGGTTAGCACCGGACAAGTTGCGAAAGGGCGCTTGAGGAGCTCAACAACAGGGGCTTCACAGTTATGCTGTAGGGAAAAAAGCGCTCTCTCCACCTTACTACTAACGGATGAAAGCGGTCTGCGGCAGAGCTTGTTTCCTTGGAGAATCCTGTAGCTTGGTCATGGCAGCTCGTGTTCCCAATGTATTACACACTGGGCTGTACACTGTCACTGTTACACTCCGAAAAGCCATGTTGCAGTATTTATGCATGCAGAAGCCCGGCATCTTGTCAATTCTGTATTTACATGCAAACCATGCAACCCAGTAAAGACCTCGAGGCACCCATTCCCAAAAGCTCAACATGCAAACGAAGCGTGAATTCCGTACAAACCAGAAACCCGAATTCCGGAAAACAAATTCCAAATTCCCGAATACATGCAATGCAATGGTGGCAGCAACCAAATTCAAAACATGCATTACTCACCACCAAAATTGTGGCTGAATGTGTCAAACCTTCACTCAAAGATTTCCACGTCCTCATCCTCGTCTGACGAAAGGCAGATTTGGAGTGGTCCCTCGGTATACTTGAGAGCACCTTGTGCCCACTTCGGTCCTGGCACCTGACGGCAGATACCAAAGTCCTCAAGAGGCAGTTGTACTTGCCCTCCTCCTGCCCACGTCGACAAATGGCTCCTATTTTCGCACGGAAGACTTGGGGCCACAAATCCCAGGCTATTAAGGAGTGCTTTATCCTCGTTCTGTAATTGCTGCCATCCTGCAGGGACCCAACCGATGAGTAGCATTCGATCACAGCCCGCTGGAACCGACGCATGCCAGAGTTGTCTAGCACTGAGCTTGTACGCAGCGCCCGACAGGATGTGGCCTCTTCTCTCCTGTCCATCTGCACACAGCATCCTAGTGGTCCCTTCCGGGTGTTCAACCCACGTGCCCCCTGGTGCACCAGGCGACAGGTTACATATCAGAGTCGGGAGAGCCGTGTTCTTGACGTCTTTATGCGGCTGCAGCTCCTGATTAAGTTGAACCTGCATAGCCATGAAACTACTGCCAGGGAATTCTCGACGCATGAAGGCGGCTAGCAACCTTACGGTCTCCGGAAAACCCTTCGTCTGTGTGCGGATGCCAGTCTTGTAACGAACGGAGGCACCACACGTGAAGGAGCCTTCACATTCCTGCAGCAGATGCCTACACACTTCAAATATGTGCCGGCGTTCCATGATCCCACGCTCTGCCAAATCAAAAGACATGTCTTCCAGGGCCATGGCCTTCTAGGCGTCTACACTCAGGCTTCAAACATGCACTCTGAGGGAGCGGCGGTGCTGGGCAGTAGAGTCGCAGCTAACTCTACAATGCACACGGAGTCAGGTTACATTTACTCGGCCGTCCTGCCCCCCCCCCCTTTATGTTTCTATACGCCAGAAGTCCCTAACACCAACACCATTCATCCAAACCCCCGGCCCCCCCGCTCTTGCACCTCAACATCTGAATCTCCACATCACATCGATTTTGATCCTGGTCCTGAATGCAAACCAACCCTTATGCTAGCCAGCGAAAGAGCTCGCAGGGCACAATCTGAACAGAGCATCAGACAGAGTCTGCGCCCCGTCACAGAAGAACGCAGTAGAGTAGT